CTTGGTATGGTTGATGGTGACGTGGTTGTTGGTGGCCCAGTTTTGGAGACTGTTCAATAAATCCTGAAGGGCGGTATAGTCGGGAGCAGAATTGTTGACGCTGATCCCAATGGTGGAGTCGTCGACATATTTCCAGCGAGCAGGGGTTTCTCTTAGGGAATCATTGACAAGCATAAGGAAGCAGAGTGGTCCCATCTTGGTGCCTTGGGGGACGCCACAGGTGAGTGACTGAAAGGTGGAGATAGCCCCTCGGAAGAGTACAGCTTGGCGTCGGTCACTGAGGAAGTCTAGAAGCCATGGTATAAGACTTCTCCGAAGCCCGAGGTCAATATCTTTGTTGATGATTAAATTGTGGTCGACTAGGTCGAATGCTTTAGTGAAATCAATGAAGGCGACAGCTACAGACTTTTTCGTTTCTCGAGATGGCGGTATATGTAATCGAGAAAGCTGACAAGACAGTGAGTGGTGGAGGAAGTTTTCATAGTGCCAAATTGCTGAGGGTCTACGACTCCTGCAATATCAGCATAAGCCGAGTCGAACACAAAGCTTACACAGATTAGGCTGGGTATTGGGGTGATTGCAATAGGTCGTAGCTGATTTAAGGATTGTGGGCTGGTTGACTTGGGCACTGGTGATACATAAGAGGTCTTCCAGTCAGCTGGGCATCTGGCTTGACTGAGAGAAGCTTTGATGATGGAGCATAGGGGTTTAGCAAGCTCCAGGGAGAACTCCTTGAAGAGTTTCATTGGTAAGTCAATGGGGGTGGTGGAGCGTTTTAACTTTAGTTTGTCCAGACGTTTTGCTACTTCAAATTCTTCTACTAAGTCAGGCAGGGAGAGTGGTTGTGTCAAGCCGGGGAGGCGTCTGGCATATAGTAGCGAAATGGTTATTTGATTGCTCAGCTGCGCCAACATTAGTGAGATGGCTAAGGAAGGGGAGGGGGTGTGTCTTATTGTTTAGTCCACAGAGCTCTTTAAGCTTACCATACCATTGACTGATGTTGGTCTACTTCAGGTGTTGCAGTTTGGTTGGGTAGTGAGACTTCTTTGCAGTGTGTATTTCGCGGATGACTCAGTTGCGAAGGGACCTGTAGCGGATGTGGTCATTGAGATAAAAGGCTCTTTCTCTCTGTTGCACAAGTCTTTTGATCCGAGGTGTGATCCAGGGCATCACCTTAAGCCAATAGTAACATCATCACTACAACACAACATTAACATCACTTTAAGCCAACACTAACATCATCACTACAAAACACTAACATCACCACAACACATCACTAACATCATCACTACAACACAACACTAACATCATCACTAAAAAACACTAACATCACTACAACACAACACTAACATCACTACAACACAACACTAACATCATCACTACAAAACACTAGCATCACTACAACACATCACTACAACACAACACTAACATCACTTTAAGCCAACACTAACATCATCACTACAAAACACTAACATCACTACAACACATCACTAACATCATCACTACAACACTAACATCACTTTAAGCCAACACTAACATCATCACTACAAAACACCAACATCACTACAACACATCACTAACATCATCACTACAACACAACAATAACATCATATTAAGCCAACACTAACATCACTACAACACAACATTAACATCACTACAGCACAACACAACAATAACATCACTTTAAGCCAACACTAACATCATCACTACAAAACACTAACATCACTACAACACAACACTAACATCACCTAAAGCCAACACTAACATCACTTTAAGCAACACTAACATCATCACTACAACACAACAATAACATCACTTTAAGCCAACACTAACATCATCACTACAAAACACTAACATCACTACAACACAACACTAACATCACCTAAAGCCAACACTAACATCACCTAAAGCCAACACTAACATCACTTTAAGCCAACACTAACATCATCACTACAACACAACAATAACATCACTTTAAGCCAACACTAACATCATCACTACAACACAACAATAACATCACTTTAAGCCAACACTAACATCATCACTACAAAACACTAACATCACTACAACATGACACTAACATCATCACTACAACACAACACTAACATCACTTTAAGCCAACACTAACATCATCACTACAACACAACACTAACATCACTTTAAGCCAACACTAACATCATCACTACAACACAACAATAACATCACTTTAAGCCAACACTAACATCATCACTACAACACAACACTAACATCACTTTAAGCCAACACTAACATCACTACAACACATCACTAACATCATCACTACAACACTAACATCACTTTAAGCCAACAGTAACATCATCACTACAAAACACTAACATCACTACAACACATCACTAACATCATCACTACAACACTATCATCACTTTAAACCAACACTAACATCATCACTACAAAACACTAACATCACTACAACACAACACTAACATTATCACCACAACATTTACATCACTTTAAGCCAACACTAACATCATCACTACAAAACACCAACATCACTACAACACATCACTAACATCATCACTACAACACAACACTAACATCACTTTAAGCCAACACTAACATCATCACTACAAAACACTAAACATCACTACAACACATCACTAACATCATCACTACAACACAACACTAACATCACTTTAAGCCAACACTAACATCACTATAAGCTAACACTAACATCACTACAACACATCACTAACATCATCACTACAGCACAACACTAACATCACTTTAAGCCAACACTAACATCATCACTACAACACAGCAATAACATCACTTTAAGCCAACACTAACATCACTACAGCACAACATTAACATCACTACAACACAACACAACACTAACATCACTTTAAGCCAACACTAACATCATCACTACAAAACACTAACATCACTACAACACAACACTAACATCACCTAAAGCCAACACTAACATCACTTTAAGCCAACACTAACATCATCACTACAAAACACTAACATCACTACAACACAACACTAACATCTCCTAAAGCCAACACTAACATCACTTTAAGCCAACACTAACATCATCACTACAACACAACACTAACATCACTTTAAGCCAACACTAACATCATCACTACAACACAACACTAACATCACTTTAAGCCAACACTAACATCATCACTACAAAACACTAACATCACTACAACACAACACTAACATCACTACAACACATCACTAACATCATCACTACAACACAACACTAACATCACTATAAGCCAACACTAACATCACTACAACACATCACTAACATCATCACTACAACACAACACTAGCATCACTTTAAGCCAACACTAACATCATCACTACAACACAACAATAACATCACTTTAAGCCAACACTAACATCATCACTACAAAATACTAACATCCCTACAATACAACACTAACATTACTTTAACACAGCCTCTTACTATATTTTTGACATCTCACTAATTCTTGTTCATTACTGTACAGTAATTTAAGACATCACCCAGGAAAACTTTGAATAAAATGGCAAAGACACGATGTGAATATCGATTCAACGGCAAGAAGGAATTCCTTAAATTCCTTAAAGAAAAAGTAATTTTCACTGGTATTTCGACACAATTGATCTTACGGGAAGATTTAGTCCGCGAGTATAAGAAGTACTGTGATGGCCAAGGCAGCTCCCCGACTTCAGTTGTGAATATTGGACGGTTAATGTCCAAGTTAGGTGCGAAATGCAATGTGCGTGTGGGGGGCTACAACGGCGTCGGCCAGAAGTATGCCTTTCCAGGCGTCGTCTTTCAGCCTTGTGTGGAAGTCCTTGCAACGTGCTCGTTGCGAGCTGTCAACAAAAAACGCAAATCAGACTTGGAAACGTCAAGCAGCCAAAACGAGTTAAAACGTCAGCTGAAAAAAAGGAAGACTTTTCGTCATTTTTCGAGAAGTTTCTCTCTCCTTCATACGACAGTAACGACATAGTAGGTCAACACGACCTATTTCAAGAATATAACACGTACTGTCAACAAAATGGGCTTCAGGAGATACACAAGTTCCAGACCGGCCGTTTAATGGCCACCCGAGGTCTGGAGTTCACCACGAGGGTTGGACCAGACATTAAGCGACTGTATTATTATAAATGCTTAAAATGGACCGACAGTCTCCCCAATGGAGTGTGTAAACCACCAAGACCCTGCAGAACACTCCACCAACATGTGAAACTCGACCACATCTCACCTGTCCTGGTCGAGGTCGAACCCGACCTGGTCGAGGTCGAACCCGACCTGATCGAGGTCGAACCCGACCTGGTCGAGGTCGAACCCGACCTGGTCGAGGTCGAACCCGACCTGGTCGAGGTCGAATCCGACCTGATGGAGGTCGAACCCGACTTGGTCGAGGTCAAACGAACCGGAGCCGAGTCCGGAGCCGACCAGGCCGAGGTCGAACTTGAACAGGCCGAGGTCGAACGATCAGGCCGAGGTCGAACCGGACCAACACACACAACCAACGTGGCCAGGTTGAACCCGACCAACACACGACTAACGTGGCCAAGGTCGAACGGCCAGGATGAGGTCGAGAACCCAACCAGGACTTATACGACCTGTCTCATTTCATAGACCTGGCCGTGATCTCACCCGACCAACACACACCCAACGTATTGGCCGTGATCTCTTGACCGGCACCCACATAACGTGGCCATTGATCTCACCCGACCAACACACACCCAACGTGGCCATGATCTCACCCGACCAACACACACCCAACGTGGCCGTGATCTCACCCGACCAACACACACCCAACGTGGCCATGGTCTCACCCGACCAACACACACCCAACGTGGCCGTGATCTCACCCGACCAACACACACCCAACGTGGCCAAGGTCGAACCCGACCAACACACACCCAACGTGGCCATGATCTCACCCGACCAACACACACCCAACGTGGCCAAGGTCGAACCCGACCAAAATACACCTAACGTGGCCATGATCACACCAGAAGAAACACCCCAAAAAGTTGACCTCAATCTGGACGAAATCTTAGGCCAAATGTGGGAGGAATATGATTGCCTGGGTCTCTGATTCTCCTTAATAAAAATTTTCTTTTATTATTAAATACTTTAATTTTCCTTATAAACATCACAATTGTCAGTCATTTTTTTCTTTTTCAGCTTAACCCACAAGTACATAATTTATAATAAAAACTGTTGCCCAGACAATGAGTCCAAAAATCCGGACTGCTTGGGGATTGGGTCGGTCCGGATTTTCGGATTTTCCGGATTCTCAGGCAGTACTTTTAAAATTAAAATTTAAGGAGGAATAAAGAAGAGATGAACAGGTACATTTTGATAGTTTATCCATTAGCAAATATAGCATGCTTCATTTATCAAAACGAGCAGTTTTAATGAAAAAGCTGTGAATTCTAGTATTTTATTCTTTGCCTTTTTGATATCATAAATTGTAGACTTTCCAATGTTGTATTTTCCATTAGAACAGTATTGCTCACACCACGTACTAGTTTCTTAATTATTTCAAGTTTGTCACTCAATTTCAACGTGTTCTTCTTTCTCTTCACACAACGAAGTTTATCTACTTTAGGAGCCATTATTATGGGCTTGTACAGTAATCTGTAAATGGAAAGAGTAGGACTCAAAATATTGTTATATTACAATGGTATTCTATTCATACTGTGCTTGATATAATGCATTCACGGAAATGTAATATTTTTGCTAAAATGACGTACGTATTACAGTGGAAAGTGGGATCAAATCGTGACGAAAACAATGACTTTCGCTTTCTTTCGTTCAAAAGATGTTACCGTAATCGCTTTTCGAATGGTTTAGTTAAAAAACTGTTGTACTGTATTACAATTATATTCTATCCTAATTGACTTGAATAAATACTACGATACCATATTTCTGAATATTTTCATTAAAATCCATCAAAATCATTTTCTTTGTCATCGTCTGCAGCACCAAACAGCTTCTCCCAGCCCTCTCCTTGAACAGGGCTAGAGGGTACGTGTTTTTCGAATCGTTTTCAGTTAAAAAACTATTACATCACACGTATATTTTACCTAAACTGCACCTGAATGAATATATTCTCGGAAATAAATAGTAGTTTTGCTGAAACGTGATGTATTTCAATGTAAAATAGGATAAAATACATGTCGAAAACAAAAGACTTTACCTAAGCTTCCGATGTTCTAGAGATGTTACTCGTTTTTTTAATAGTTTTCGGTTAAAATTCTGTTATATTACAATGATATTCTATTCATACTGTGCTTGATGTAATACATTCACGGAAATGTAATATTTTTGCTGAAATTACGTACGTATTAAAGTGGAAAGTGGGATAAAATCGTGACGAAAACAATGACTTTCGCTTTCTTTCGTTCAAAAGATGTTACCGTAATCGCTTTTCGAATGGTTTAGTGAAAAAACTGTTGTATTACAATAATATTCCCTCCTAATTGACTTGAATAAATACTTGAATGGAAATATACAATATTTTTGTTGAAACTACCCGCGTTTCAGTGTAAATTGTTGTAATAATAAATGGTAAACAATTTGCCTTCGGCACTCGTGTTTCAGTTTATAGGACGTAGAGCGTTTTTACTGAAGGTTTTGTTGTTCGCTTACCCTCAAAAACTTGGGTCGAACTATAAACGAGGAATATCATAAATTAACGATTTCTTGGTCAAAAAATCAGGGTCGACAGATAAACGAGGGGGGGTTATAGATGAGTATATACTGTATGTTGTCACAGTTTGATTGCTCGTTTTAAAGTGGAGACCACGTGGTCGCTTGTTGTCGCTGTGCAGCTGTGGCGCTCACGCATGCGCACATACACACAAAAGCCAGCTAAAAAAAAAATAATAATAATAATTAGTTTTCCAAAAGTCCGGATTCTGGGGTGGTCCGGATTTTTGGCATCCGGATTTTTGGACTTACCATTGACAACACAACATACATACAGGCACAGCACAGAATATATGGTTTCTCACTCTTGATCTTTTTTTATTTTTTTATTTCTTTATGGTTCTTTATTAGTATTATTTATTATTATTACATTATTATTATTATTATTATTACATTATTATTATTATTATTATTATTATTATTATTATTATTGTTATTATTATTATTATTATTATTATTATTATTATTATTGCAGTGTTGTTATTATTATTATTATTGTTTTCATTATTGTTTTATTATTTTAATTTTTGTATATTTTATTAAAAAATTTACTTATCTGAATTATTATTATTATTATTATTATTATTATTATTATTATTATTATTATTATTATTATTATTATTATTATTATTATTATTATGAAAATTATTACATTTTCGCCCCCCAGGCCCTCATCCCAGGAATTTTCCCGGTACAGTGAGTTCTGCTATAACGCTTGTTTTGACAAAGTGAATTGGCTCTAACGCGATTTATGAATAGAGGAACGATATACTGTATGTATAACGCGAACGCTTGTTTGCTGTAACGCGATTTTTGCTTACTATTTCTCCAATTTTGTGGTATTAACTGTGAATATGGTAAAGAAGAATATCTCCAAGAAGCGTTCTGGTGATTGCATTCCCAGTGATGATCATAAAAGAAAGGCTATAACCCTTGAAGAGAAGCTCCATGTTATCTACCTCAAAATCACCCTTCTCCCCCATCAAGTTATATTCATATTTTTTCAAGGTAAAGTGTTACATTTACTGTATGATTTTATTATTAGATATGAATGTAACATTTATTTAGACTGTGCTATCCTTTGTGTTAGGCTAACTACTAAATTTTTTTCGATTTCGAGTAGCAATCTGCACCTAACCCTATTTTCTCCATAAGCCCTGTTATTTCTATTACGCGAATTTCTATAACACGATGTTTTACAAGAACACAACTCAAATATCAAAACACCAACACCTCCAACAACAACAACAATAATAATAATAATAATAAATAATAACAATGTTAGTAAAATAATAATTAAAAAATAATAGTTACAACAATAATATAAATGAATAAACCACACAAAAAAAATAATATTAATGAAACTTAAAAAAATCGGCAGCTCACTAATAAAAAACAAGAAAAATGTTGTTTGTGTGTAAGTGAATGTGTAGAGCATTGAGAGTAAGTAAGGCCAGGGAGAGTGAGGGGAGGGAGGGAGGGAGGGTAAACAAAGAGTTAGGGGAAGAGAGAGTGAGCGGAGGGAGGGAATGGGGGAAGACAGAGAGAAGAGTGAGTGAGGGAGGGGTAGTGAGTGAGAGGAGGGAGGGAATGGGGGAAGAGAGAGAGAAGAGTGAGTGAGGGAGGGGTAGTGAGTGAGAGGAGGGAGGGAATGGGGGAAGACAGAGAGAAGAGTGAGTGAGGGAGGGGTAGTGAGTGAGAGGAGGGAGGGAATGGGGGAAGACAGAGAGAAGAGTGAGTGAGGGAGGGGTAGTGAGTGAGAGGAGGGAGGGAATGGGGGAAGACAGAGAGAAGAGTGAGTGAGGAGGGGTGGTGAGGTGAAGAGGAGGAATGGGGAGAACCAGAGAGAAGAGTGGTGGGGAGGGGGTGAGTGAGTGAGAAGAGGGAGGAATGGAAGACAGAGAGAGTGGTGAGGGGTGGTGGTGAGAGGAGGGAGGAATGGGGGAAGAAGAGAAGAGTGAGTGAGGGAGGGTGGTGAGTGAGGAGAGAGGGAATGGGGAGACAGAGAGAAGAGTGAGTGAGGGAGGTAGTGAGTGAGGAGGGAGGAATAAGGGGAAGACAGACCAGAAGAGTGAGTGAGGAAGGTCAGGGTCAGATGTGCTTACTCTAATGGGTTTCTGTGGGAAGAGATTGTTGTGTTTTTATTTGAGAACCGTAAAAAAGTTTGGTTTGGGGCCCAGAGGGTGTGTGTAATGTGTGTGTGTTCATCACTACAACACAACACTAACATCATCACTCATCACTACAACACAACACTAACATCACCTTAAGCCAACACTAACATCATCACTACAACACAACACAAACATCATCACTACAAAACACTAACAAAACACTAACATCACTACAACACAACACTAACATCATCACTGCAACACAACACTAACATCACCTTAAGCCAACACTAACATCATCACTACAACACAACACTAACATCACCTTAAGCCAACACTAACATCACCTTAAGCCAACACTAACATCACCTTAAGCCAACACTAACATCACCTTAAGCCAACACTAACATCACTATAACACAATATAATAATAATAATAATAATAATCATAATAATAATAATAATAATATTAATTATTAACGGTTTATTGAAAGAGCTTGGCAGCCAGAAGGCTGAAAGTATACAGTTACATAATTGGGGAATGGGTTTCGAATTACAAATAATATACAAATAACATAAGTGATACAAATAAGATATATAATAACTAGATGGGGGAAAGCTCAAACTACAATTCATTTCAACATAGTGACAGTGCAAGGAGTAGTGTTTACTGGGAGTGAATACACTGGTTTATTACAAGTTATTGATAATTTTTACAATGGTTGGGACTGGGCTGTTCTTACAGCGATCAGTTAGTGCACGTATGGGCTGGATGCGGTTGTGGTGTCGAACAGCAATTCTCGGGCTAGGGATCTGAGGTGGTAGTATGTATGTATGTATGTATGTATGTATGTTTGTATGTATGTATGTTTGTATGTATGTATGTATGTATGTATGTATGTATGTATGTATGTATGTATGTATGTTTGTATGTTTGTATATACTGTAAAGTCAGTGCTTGTGTATACATTTTTTAAGAGGTTCAGGGTGCAAATGTAAGGTGTTAATGTTAGGGATAGCTCACACACACACACACACACACACACACACACGTAAGAACATAAGAACAGAGGAAACTACAGCGAGCCATACTGGGGGGCGAAAAAAAAAGAACGGAAAGAAATTGTAAATATAGAAAAAAAGGTTATACTGTATTAATCTACACCACTAA